GGGAAGGGGGGCGAGAGGCGGGAAATCAGACCAGCAAGGGATGCCCGGCACGGCCGAGACCAGGCTGTGCTGTCCACATAAACTCCAAAAACCCGACTCTCGCCCTCGCATTAGAACAGGTGACACTGTGGCCGCGCTGGACAGCACGTCAGGAAGATTATTAAGGCGTCGAGAGCAAGTCAAAACTTAAAGCAGATGCCTTTTAATGAAGTTAACAGCTCCCCTAAGACACGCTGCTCGGTGCCTCTCTCCTTTCCTTCCTCTGTTCTTATCAGAAGGTAGACAATGTGTTTCTTAAGTGTCCTTTTCAAAAATGCTGGTCCCACTCCTCACCTCTTCTTTACTTTGTTGGAAAAAATCAAATGAAACCCAGAGGGAGCACGACACCAGTGACCGTCCCCCAGGCCCTGCCCTCAGAGCCGGGCCCTGGGGAGCAGTCAGGAGAGAGAGCCCTGAATGGATCTGCACGTCACCTCTGAATCCCATCTCTCAGAGCCACCACTCAAAGACCCCCTGACTCTGGGTCCATCCTAACTTGACAGAAATTCCCTCTTCCCTAACACACACACGTGCGCACACGCACAACATGCACACGCTGGCTCAGCAGAGGCAGCCAGAAGTAATCCTGTCCTCTATACGTTTCCAAAGAATCCCCAGTACAGCCACTCACATGATACCAGGAAACCAAAAGAAATCGGCGAGACATAAAAAGTAAGTATGGCTACAGCTTTTTAAAAAATGCGGTCCTGGGGCAGGTGCACTGCAGGTTCCCTTAACGGCGGTCACACACTTGGTTCATCCCTGACCCTTGCCTTCCCCCCGGCCTCTGAAGGTCCTCTTCACGCCCCCCCTTCTCCTTGGAGAGAGCCAGCCCGCCGCTCACCCTCGGACGAATCAGGCCTGTGCGCTCAACTCTAGCACACCAGCCGCGAGCCTGGGGCCAGTTCTCGCCGACACGTATCTCAGTCTCCCAGTGACCACTGAATTCCGAGTCACCACGGCTGTGGGCGCAAAGACATGCCCGCCTGGCAGGAGGCAGAGCATCAGAGGAAGCCCCTGGAGCCAGGCTGACAGGCGGCGGGTGTGTGCGCCCCCTACAGGCAGCGGCGGGAGACTCGGCCTGTATATCACTAAGGAACATCATCACGAAAGTACAAATGGCACAAGACCAAGTTCCCCAGCAGCAATGACTA